ATTTTCTTCTCTAAGTTCTCCCTTTATGTGCATATTGTACTTTCTTTGTCTTTATTCTATATTTATCACTTTTTTCAAAATATTTTAGCACTCTAAATGAATGCATATTTAGTGTTAGAATTTGATTATGTTTGGTAAATGCATATGTCTACATAACCTCGGTTCTTCCAAGATAAAGAATATCTGCATCACCTCGGAAAATTCCCTCTTGCTCTTACCTCAAAACAGTCCTTCTCACCTGAGTCAGTATTTTGATGGCTTTCACATCACAGCACTTTTGTCTACTCTAGAATTTCAAATGAATTTAAGGATTCATTTTTAAAAATGTAAGGCAGCTTTCTATTTTCCATGTCCTACTTATTCTAAGGTATGATCCACTGTGTTTTTTCACTCTTCTGTCCTTCCTGGTCTAGCCTTGATTTCTGAAATTACTTTCTCTTTTATTTCTAATTCCTGAATTCTGTTCAAATCTTTTTCTATTCACAAATTACATTGCTTCTGATTCTTTCCCAATTCTGATTTGTCTTGTTCCCTCCCAGTTTTTACATTTTTTTCAATTCCCTTTAGCTCATTTTGAAATACTAGATTTCAGTTTCATGTTGGCATGTCTTTGTGATATGTTCATGTTTAACTACTATTACAGTGGTTTAATATTGCTTTTTTTCATTGATTCAATTTTTAATATTAGGAACTCACCTTATTATTTCCAGGAAGCACCTAGCATATTGCCTCGCAATAATAAGCTATTGATAAATACACATTTTATTGAACTGAAACCTAGACTATTGTGAACAATATGAGATTTTCACCACCCTGTAGTGAAAGCGATATCTTAATTCCATAAAGCCTTAAGACTTGTGCCTAGGACCTACCAATCACAGAGCTGCTAGGACCTTAAAGCTCTTGCTCAACTGCTTTATTAATAATTCCATTTTCACCCAGTGTGGGGCATGCAGGAGGCAGCCAATCAATGATTCTCTGTCATCATTGATGTTTCTCTCTCTCTCTCCCTCTCCCTTCCTCCCTGAAATCAGTAAAAACATATTAAAAAAATAATTCCATTTTCATAAACAACTTTCCCAAGATCATACAGACATGTAGTAGCAAAACTAAGGCTAAATCCCTGGTTTCCTGACTCTCAGTGTAGTGCCATCCTATATAATAAGAGCCTAATATGCTAAGTGTCCGGTTGTCCAGTTGGCCATTCAACCAATCAAAGTGTAATATGCTAATGATATGCTAAGGCCGCTCAACTGCTTGCTGTGACGTGCACTGACCACCAGGGGGCAGATGCTCTGACCTGTAGGTTAGCTTGCTGCTGGGGTCCGGCCAATCGGGACTGAGCAAGAGGGCCGGACATGCCCTGGAGCCCTCCCCTGGTCCCTCCCCGCTGGCCAACCTCCTGTGTCCCTCCCTGGCCCTGATTGTGCACTGGTGGGGTCCCTCGGCCTGGCCTGCGCCCTCTCGCAATCTGGGACCTTTCAGGGGATGTCAGACAGCCAGTTTCGGCCTGATCCCGCAGGCCAGGCTGAGGGACCCCACCGGTGCACGAATTCGTGCACAGGGCCTCTAGTATGTATATATATATTGACAGTCTCAAAGCAAAGAAAAACGTGTTTCTATGCAATATAAAATGTGTGCAGATGTTACATACCTACTTTCTGTCCTTTTGTTTTCTCCCATTCATAGTCAGTTTCTGATAGAGACTATGTAAATATGTATTTATCAATAGCTTATTATTGCAGGGCACCTGTCCGATTTTCACCCAAACTAGTGGGCAGGAGGGTTCCTTGAGCAAGAACACGAGAAGAAGTAATGGGGGATCACACTCAGGGACAAGGAGGCCCCCTCTCTCCTCTCCCCACTGCCAGCATTGGGAAAGCATCAGGCGGAGTGTGATTGGCTGGCGATGCACTCAGTCAGCGTCCTCTGCCAGACTCACACGAACAGACGCCAAAGCCACACCCCGAGGATGGGATCAGGAGCTTAGCTGTGATTGCAGCCTAGAAAGAGTTTTGTCAACAGAAGGCAGCATCCTAGACATAGCAGAGCTGTTCAAGCAGAAATAAAGGACCAAGTGAGAGGGTTTCCTCGTTGCAGCCACTGGTTCTGAGTATCAATGGCTGAGGGGAAAAATACAAAATAAACAAAGTGTTATTTGTCATATAGTATAACCAGTCATATTATATGATTATATATCTGTTGTGAAGAGCCTTAGAAGAGCAACACAGTCACTGGGTAATGCCCCAGAGGGCAATGGTGAGGGGGCTGGTAGATCACCCAGCCCGTGGCAGCATTGGGGGCATTCTCTCTCCACTATATCTCTGAACTGCTAAGCTGGGGCTTGAAGAAAGGCTTATGAGGGAGGAGTGCATAGAAGGAAACATAGAAGAATTGGGTTAAGAGGAATTATGCAGTTGAAGTCTATATACGACAAGCCAATGTGTGTTAAAAGAGATACTGACGCATGATGCAGGGACGAAAATAAAATCCCACTACTTCCAGCCCCTTTCTTTCAGATGTAATCATAATTTATAATACTCAAAGCTGGAAAACCTCACTTCAAGAAGAAAATATTTATTTAAGAATGCAATTGTTTGATATGTTTATTTAATACTTAAAAAATATAGTAAATAATCTATTGTAAATTCGAGTCTACTTGTCCAACAGGCCAAACTTGCTCTTTCCACCCTAGCATGGTGCCCTTCGACTTTAACGTGAAGATGAATCGCTTGTTCTCATGTTAAAATGCAGGTTCTGATTCAGTAGTTCCAGGGGGTGCTCAGGATTCTGCATTTCTAACAAGCTTCCAGGGGATGCTGATGCTGCCAGTTCTCACTGGGCACTATGGGCAGTGAACTATAGAGAGACCTAAGCTGTGCCTGCCTTTCACATCTGGGGCTTGTGCAGCGCAAGGAGATCACTAAGTAGGGATTATGGGTATCACATAAGACGATACTGTATGCCAACACACTTTCACTGAGTGCCTGCTGCATAACGGGCACTAGAAAGGGGAAAGGTAACACTGGTTCTCTGGTTTTACGGAGCTCCTGGGTAAGAGCAAGGGCTGCAGGAGGAGGCTGACATTAGCAGATGCCATGTTGGCAGAGAAGGATGCAACGGGAACTGTAAGAGAAGCAGCACGAAAAAGGAAGAGGTTAGTCTGGCTGAGCAAGAGCATGCGGTTTCGTTGAGGAGGTGAGATTTGAACCGTGTATCCTTTGTAAGATGCTTACAGTGGATCTGGGTGGAAGAAGCTAAGTCTGAGAATGAACTGACTTCAAGAAAATTATTCTAGTCTTGATAGTACATCCTGGGTTGATCTCAATGCTGGGCCCCTCATCTGGTTTGTAGTGTTTGGACTCAATGCTGGGCCCCTCATCTGGTTTGTAGTGTTTGGACCAGAAATACCTCAATAAGCATATGATGCACATGGTGTGCCTTTTTGTTGCAAATGCTCACGACATCTTGTTCAGATATTTAAATTTGAGCGATCTTGTTCAGATATTTAAATTTGAGCGAACTACTCTGTGCTGTGTAAGCAGAGGTGGAAGTATGTTTCTGACCTCTCTTAAGTTTGACACAGCGTCACACTAATAATAGGACCAATCTCTCAGTGCATATACTGTAGTTTGGCTAGTCATTTGTCAACTCTATTAAAATATTATTTCCCAGTTAGTCACCAAGGTGTCCTCTCTATCTCTTCTCCTTTAGTCAGTCTGAAATTGTAACTTCCGATAACTACCACCAAGTAAAACAGTTATAATGTAAGAAAGTGCTTGCATCTCATAGAAAGCTGGAGCACCCTAAGTCCCCAAGACAGAATATTTTCCTGAATAATAGTTAACTTGTAAAGATGAAAAACCTGAGGAAATTCATTCTTTAGCTCCCCAAATCTCAAGCTTGTCTCTCTCTTTTTTTTTAACATTTGAAACCCTAGAAAGAAACACAATCTAGGGAGAAACAATTTGGAGGACTTCTTAATTATGTCCCTAATATGTAGATATTTCTCTCAGTTGAGCACCATTAAGGCAAAGAAATTTCTTGGCTGATTCCCGGGATATACTGGAAGGCCAGTAGGCAAATGTGTTGAGCTAATTCTAATTCTTACCTCAGAATATACATGTATTTCCTCAGTTGGGGAAATTTGTCCATCTACAGTACAATGGTATGATCTTGTCATTTATTTTCTAATCTGTGTGGGACGTTATCTAAACCCTTTTTTCTTTGGGTGTCTGTTTGCTGGAATGAGTAGCCATGGACCTGGAAGAGTCCAGCTCTATTACAGATGTACAGCCTTGTTCTCCCTGAGGACCAGTCTGATGCTAATGTGATTGGGTTTACCTGTGAGATTCGGGATGCGTGCTGCCCATCACAGGTTTCTCTAGAGCTGCAGTGATTCCAATTTCTGCAGTCATTTTTGGAAACAGACTTTATAGAGATGCAGATAATCAGTTTCTGCTTTACTCTGGCCGGCTGCTCTGATAAAGCCTTTTTAAAATTGGTGGATTAGATGCCCTCGCCCATGTAGCTCGGTTGGTTGGGCCTTGTCCAGTGGACTGAAAAGTTTCTGGTTCGATTCTCAGTCAGGGCACATGCCTGGGTTCAGGGCTCAATCCCTAGTCGGCGGTGTGCAGGCGACAGCTGGGGGCATGCAAGAGGCTGCTAATCAATGCTTCGCTCTCACATCAATGTTTTTCTCTCCCTCTCCCTTTCTCTCTCTCTAAAAAAAAGCCAATTAAAAAATCTTAAAAATATAAAACTGGCAGAATCGGTAGGGCTGGACTCTCATCTCCCTCTCCTAGCCATGGTGCGTACTGGCTGACTGGTATACCTGAGAGAACACGGGTCTGGATGATTAGCTCTTTTTCAGGTGTGGTTTTCTTGTCTCATCTCTGTTTTATTCTCCTCCAGGAGAAATGGGTTCCATGAGGCAAGTGTGACCCTGAAGCCCAGCCCTGCAGCCACAGCCCGACACCCAGCTGGGCAGGCAGAGCACCATGGATGGCATCATTGAACAGAAGAATATGCTGATGCACAGTAAGATCAACGATGCTGGCAAGAGGAATGGCTTAATTAACACCAGAAACTTCATGGCTGAGAGCAGAGATGGCCTGGTGTCTGTTTACCCAGCACCCCAGTACCAGAACTGCCGGCTGCTGGGCAGTGCGGCAGCAGCCACCCTGGACAGCGGCAGGAGTGAGCCTGTCCAGCAGCTGCTGGACCCCAACACCCTGCAGCAGTCAGTGGAGTCCCACTACCACCCTAACATCATCCTCTACTCCGAGGGCATGCTGCGCTCCTGGGGGGATGGCGTGGCTGCCGACTGCTGCGAGACCACCTTCATTGAGGACCGGTCACCCACCAAAGAGAGTCTGGAGTACCCCGATGGGAAGTTCATTGACCTCTCAGCTGATGACATCAAAATCCACACCCTCTCCTATGATGTGGAGGAGGAAGAGGAATTTCAGGATCTGGAGGTCAGATGGGAATGGGATGTGGTGATTTGGTGGGAATCCATGAGAGCCTGGCAAAATTTAGGGAATGAAACTAGTGTGATAAAATGCAGAGAAACTGAAACATTTTGGGTGCCCCTTAAACTCTCTAGTGTTTGTGGAAGATGGGAGGAGTGGAGAGAGACTAAATGACCAAGACCAGTGAGGGCTTCAGCAGGAATTCTCATCAGAAATGCCCTCAGGTAATCGCTGTGGCGAAGGGGCTACAGGTGGACTTAAAGGCTGGCAGCACCAGCAGGTCACTTGGGGACTCCCGCTAACACCCCACCCACAGGAAAGAGGGGTCATTGGCAAAGTGAACAAGGTGAGAGGGACATGTGGTGCTAGGGCGGCAAAAGGCTAGAAATGCATGTGTGGTGACAATTTGGGAAGTATTTTTGCTGCCACACATGCATGGTTTCCTTAATTTGGCCTGCCAACGTTTCTACTGAAGGCTCATTGGTAGAGCTAAAACCTGCTGGAAGGAGTAGTAGAATTGGTAGCCTTAAGAGAAGGGAAGTTAAATTATCGCAAGAGTCACTTCTTCATTACACTGGAGAGCAGGTCAGGGTGGTTGGATTACATTCTTAGAAACATGCACATTGACGTGGTGTAACATGTACAACAGCCTCCAGGTTAGCTTGTCCCTTCTCCTTCGATGAAGCACCCCAAGTGGGAGGTTCTTTTGTTCACAGATCTGAACAAAAGCCATGCATTTGTCAATTCAGAGGCAGAAACCCCAGCTTAAGGAAGGAATTTCACTGCCTTGAAGATAGAGGACATTCCTCCAGGACATGAGTGGCAGAGAAAGAAGAGCCAGATTTTCTGATGGAGGCTGGAGAGAGCAAGAAAGAGGAGGTTTGGAGTAGAATCAGACTCACACTCATGGGGCCCGGACTAGGTAGAAGGCCAATGAAATAATGAGGGATTGATGGGTCAATAAGACCAGAGTTATCAGGACTGGAGGTAAAAAAAGCAGATGGAGAGAGATGTTCTTTTTTTATTGCGGTGACATTGGTTAAAAAATCATACAGGTTTCAAGCGCACAGTTCCATAATACATCATCTGTATATTGTATTGTGTGTTCACCCCCCAAGTCAAGTCTCCTTCCATCACTATTACACCCCCTTTACTTTCTTCTACCTCCCCCCACTGCCCTTTCCCTCTGGCAATCACCATACTGTTCTCTGCATCCATGAGTCTGTCTTCACTTTGTTTGTTTATTTTGTACATTTGATTCCACATATAAATGAAAAAATCTTGGATATTTCTCGTAGCAATATTTTTTTCTGACATATGACCTCCGGCAAGGGAAACAAACGAAAAAATAAGCAAATGGGACTACATCAAACTAAAAAGTTTTTGGACAGCAAAGGAAACCATCAACAAAATGAAAGGGAAATAAATTGTATGGGAGAACATATTCGCCAATAACACATTAATTTCAAAAATATATAAAGAACTTACACAACTCAACACCAGGAAAACAAACAATCTAATTTAAAAATGGGCAAAGGACCAGAATAGACACTTCTCCAAAAAGGACAGACAGATGGCCAATAGACAAAATGTTCAAGGCCACTAATCATCAGAGAAATGCAAATTAAAATCACAATGAGCCCTGGCTGGTTTGGCTCAGTGGTTAGAGTGTTGGACTATGGCCTGAAGGGTCACAGGTTTGATTCCTGCTCAAGGGAATGTACCTCAGTTGCAGGCTCCATCCTCGGCCCAGGTTAGGGCAAATGCAGGAGGCAACCAATTGATGTGTCTCTCTCACTTTGATGTCTCTCTCTCTCTCTCCCACCTCTTTCATTCTCTCTAAAAATAAATGGAAACATATCCTCGGGTAAGAATTAAAAAAACCACACACACAATGAGATATCACCTCAAGCTTGTCAGTATGGCTATCATCAACAAATTAACAAACAACAAGTGCTGCTGAGGATGTGGAGAAAGGGGAACTCTCATGCGCTATTTATGAGAATGCAGATTGGTGCAGCCACTGTGGAAAACAGTAGGAGAGACCTAAAAAAATTAGAAATGGAACTGCCTTATGACTTAGCAATTCCACTTCTGGGAATATATCCCAAAAACCTGAAACCCTAATTCAAAAGACTACATGTACCCCATGTCCATTGCAGTGTTATTTACAATAGTCAAGGTTTGGAAGCAGCCCAAGTGCCCATCAGTAGATGAGTGGATAAAAACGCTGTGGTCTAGTTACACAATGGAATGCTACTCGGCCTCAAAAAAGAAGGAAATCTTACCTTCTGGGACAGTATGGAAGGACCCAAAGCCTATTATGCTAAGTGAAATAAGCCAGTCAGAGAGAGAGAGAGAGAGAGAGAGAGAGAGAGAGAGAGAGAGATTTTAGAAGAGAAATTCAGAAATGGAAAAATAAAAAGTGATGTAGCAATCCCTGTGCATGGAGCTGAAAACCAACTGACAGGCTGTGGAGAGGAGTTCGAGTGGGAAAGACTATACAAGGAGACCTTCACGCAGTTGATGGCACCTGTTAAGGGGAAGAGAAGGGTGTGAGCCCTGGCAATGCTAGAGTTTTGAGAAAGTTGGGAGAGGGCTTTGGCTTCCATTCAAAAGCCTCTGTGAAGTGTCCACTCTGTTAAGGTCTGAGGTATTTTGCTGAAAGGAAAAGTAGAAATGCTGCTTACCTGCATACAGTTTAGGAAGCAGATATAAAACTGCAATTTCATCATAACAGAGAGTTTTAACAGACTTCCTAGTCTGCTCTGAGAGCATCTAAGGGAGGGGATGAGGCTCCTGCACTGCACCTTGAGGAGAACCAGACTGTTGGCCAAGAAGGACTGTGGGGAGGTGGTGGGAGAATTTCAGTCCAAGGAGACATGTGAGCAGATAAAGCATGGAGGCATCCAACCTAGATCTGCAGGGAACACTAACTAGTTAGAATCGAAAAAAACCTATGGATCATGGTGAGGTCTTGGAGACAGGATCTAAATCAGTGGTTCTCAACCTTCCTAATGCCGTGACCCTTTAATACAGTTCCTCATGTTGTGGTGACCCCCAACCATAAAATTATTTTCATTGCTACTTCATAACTGTAATTTTGCTACTGTTATAAATCGTAATGTAAATATCTGATATGCAGGATGTATTTTCACGTTACAAATTGAACATAATTAAAGCATAGTGATTAATCACAAAACAATATGTAATTATATATGTGTTTTCCGATGGTTTTAGGCGACCCCTGTGAAAGGGTCGTTTGACTCCCAAAGGGGTCGCGACCCACAGGTTGAGAACCGCTGATCTAAAAGAAGCAGGGTCCCATCACTGAAGGCTTACCAGCCCTCTAAGGGAGGCTGGATTTTAGGTGGGTAACTACAAGACAGGAAGGATGGACAAGTAATAGTGACAAGAAAGAGTCCTCTGAAGAGGTGGGGTGTGGGAAGAGAGCCCAGGCCCATCTATAGCTTCAGGCCTGTTCAGGGTACTGCTGTGCTGCACCACACAGGCCAGGCTGCTGGACACCCTGATGGCTACTGGGAGTAGGGAACCACTGAGGGGTTTCAGGCAGCAGGACCACGGTCAGATCCGTATTTTTGGAAGCTGTTCTGGCTGCAGAGTGGGACAAGCGTGTAGGGGAGATGGAGGTGAGACAGGAGGGAGGCACAGAGCCTGTTGGGGGTCTATTGTCAGAGATGGTGAAAGAGAGAATCCTGACAGCATTAAACTGAATATCTTAAAAGTGAAATAGGCCATTGTTTGGAGATGATGGGAAGGAAGGAGTTAGGCCTCTTTCTTTTTTAAAAAAAAAAAAAAATTATTTATTGGGTTGACATTGGTTCACAAAACCATACAGGTTTCAAGTGTACAACTCAATGAAACATTATCTGCACACTTCATCATGTGCCTATCACCCCAAGCAAAGTCTCTCTCCATCCCCACTCCCCCCGCTTTTGTCCACCTCCACCTAGCCTCCAGTCCTTTCCCTCTGGCTATCGCCACACCGTTGTCTGTGTCTATGTGTTACTTATGAAGGTGCAGGCATTAGCCAAAAAACATATATCCACAGACCTCTCTTGTACATAGATGTTTCCAGTCCCCTAAGTGGCCAAGTTGGCCAACACAGGATTTTTAGTTTTACTATGAATTTTGGGAAAATCAGCTTCAATATATAATATCCACCAGCAGTAAAAAGTTTGGAATAGTTATTACATTGAAAATGTAAAAGAAATTCCTGAATGTCTCCATCATTCTTTTGTCACTTGTTATACCCATATGTTTCATCTCCATATCCTTGAATAAGTACAGTAGGCTCAGGTCAGTGGAGATGAACAGGTGATTAGCTTATCTTTTTTTTAATTTATTTTTTGCCATGATGCTCAAAGTGTTTCCATTTAAAGCACAATGGAAAAGAGAGGGGGAAAAAATGTATGCAATGCTTAATCCCCAAACAAAAAAATTCAAGTTAAAATGTGAGCTTTTCCTTCTAAAATGACATGTGTCAGCCCTAACCAGTTTGGCTCAGTGGATAGAGCGTCGTCCTGCAGACTGAAAGGTCCCAGGTTCGATTCCGGTCAAGGGCATGTACCTTGGTTGCAGGCACATCCCCAATGGGGAGTGTTCAGGAGGCAGCTGATCAATGTTTCTCTCTCATCGATGTTTCTAACTCTCTATCCCTCTCCCTTCCTCTTTGTAAAAAATCAATAAAATATATTTTAAAAAAATAAAATGACATGTGTCAAATAATTTTAGACATAAAAATGTTGCAAGAACAGTGCAAAGAACTCCTATATATTTACTTGTCACCTACTTTTCTTCAGTCTCAATAGTTTATCATATATGCTTTTTCTTTCCATTAATATACATGTTTTTCTGAGCTATTTGCAAGTAAGTTACACACATGAAATTCCTTTTTCCCTAAAGGAATCATGCATTTTCTAAAAACAAGATCAATTGTAAAAGTGAGGAAATTAAAAGTGTTTAATACTCTCACCTAATGGACA